AGAGCCTCTCCGGCGTCTTACACACCCCTGCCCGGGGCTGGAGGGCTCCGAGAGCGGCCGCGAAGCCAGCCCGATCCTCCTCACGAGCCCTGCCTAGTCCTGCCCTACGCCTCCTGGGCTCCGCTCCGCGCCGCGCCGCGCCGCGGGGTCCCGGCTCCTGCGCCCCGGGCGCGCCTCCCGGATAGCCGGGTTCTCGCAGGCAGGACAAAGCCATGAAGCCGGCGCTACTGGAAGTGATGAGGATGAACAGAATTTGCCGGATGGTGCTGGCCACTTGCTTGGGATCCTTTATCCTGGTCATCTTCTATTTCCAAAGTATGTTGCACCCAGGTAGGGGGCGCGTTAGCGTGGTTTTGTTGAATATTTTCTTCTCTCTCGCGCTCTCGCTCGCTCGCTCCGCCTGGTTTCTGCCTCTTCCACCCTTACCTCTTCTCCCTCGGCCACCTCGGGGCTCCTTGCTGCCCGGGTCTGCCCGGGTCACCGAGTCGGGATGGGGAGCAGGAGGGAAGATGTGCTCTCTGCTCTGCTTCCTCCTGGCACCAGGCTGGAGGATGGGACCGGGAGGGGCGGTAGTTTTTTTTTTTTTTTTTTCTTTGTGTCTCTTGTCTGTCCGTCTGCGAGGTAACAGGGAGAGGTGGAGGTTGTGGGAAGCTGCTGGGGGCTAGAGGCAGAACGAAACTCCCTCCCCGCTCTAGCCGAAGCCCTTGGGTGAAAGAGGCGCCGTCCTGCTGCGGGTGCGCTGCCCCTTTCTGGGTGAGGGGCTGGGGCCGAAGGATACGCGCCCCGGCGAGGTCCGGAGCCCGGAGCTATGCTCCCACGTGTCCCGGGCTCCGCACCGCGCCGCGCCGAGCAGGTGTGGGAAGAGGTTGGGTGCCCGGCGTTACCCCTCCACCAGGCTGGGGAAGGGGCCTGGCGCTGGCTGTTTGCCCCCAGGGTCCGGCTCCGCATTGACCTTGCGGCTGGTGCGGTTGGGCCTGCTCCATCCTCTCCCCCACCTCCAGCCCCGACCCTGCGCTGGGCGACTCAGAACTCCTGGGTCACGCCTTGGCCACCGCAGTTTTGGAGGAAACTTCGGCCGGGACCTGCCTTGGGCTGACCGTCAGGTTGCATCCCCCACTTCTGGGTTGCCAGCACCCGGAGTCTCCCGGGCCGTGTGGGAATGAGTCCCCTTCCCCCCGCCCCCGGTGGCTTTAGACACGTTCACATCTGAAGTCCGAACTGGGGGAGAGCCGAGGCTCGTCCTTTCTAAAGGGCGCAAAGGAAAGTTTGGGACCCCGGGAGGGATCGGCGCCCTGGAGCGTCGCAGCCGGCGGTTCGTCGCTCGACTCTGAAGCCCAACAGGTAGAATCTTCCGAGCAGGCTTCGCGGGTAACGCTGTCTCCCCGTCCTGCCTCGGGCGTCCCCTTGCCCCCAGCAGGCCCCGCCTGGGCCACAGTGGCTCCGAAACCCATTTTTTACGCCTCCGAGTTGCCTTTCTCAGTATAGTCACGGCAATCATTTGCTTTTGTAATTGCTAGGAAGAGGGAGCTGGAAAGACGTTTCCTTCCAGGGAAACGAGGTTACTGGTTTTTTTTTTTTTTTTTTTTTTTGCCTCCCGCCTTCTTTCAGTGTGTATCTATCTGAACACTTTCGGCCGACGTAGGCCCTTTTCATGTAGCGTGCGTTTGGGTGGATGGCAGAGGAATAAAGCTGTTCTTTCCATCAAATAGGCAGGCTGCCGGCTGCGAGATTCCTTGACAGCGCGAGGACAGAATGGCCCTCTGCCCCACTCGAGGAGCAGTTATTCAGGCGGCCACGCTGCCAAGGATACAGTCTGACACTACCACTTGTAACCTCGGGACATCCGAGCCCACCTTGTAAAAGATGGCTTTTGTTTGCAGTTGGGTATTTTTAGTTTCAAGTCAGCAAACTACAGCGGTGTTTGTCACCTCACCCAAACCGGTGGTGGTGAAACTTCTAAGGGGATTTAAAAATGGACCTCGCTTGCATTCTGGCAGCCGGGCAGTGGTTCCAGCGGGCAGGACCAGACAGACAGTGGCACCCTGGAGACCAGGCTTGACTCCACCCCAGAGGGTCAGGGGATTGGGTGGTGTGCAGATACATTGGTGCTCAAACAGTTTAAACAAAGGGCTAAATGCTTTGGTGGAGACTAGAGATGTGTTTAGGTCATTTAAAGTTTTGCCAGGACGCAACATGCCAGGTAATTCTCTGCAGGAATTCCTGGATCAGAGATACACCTCAGCCTCCAGTAGGAATGCACTTCAACTTCTCTGTACCTGTTAGCTGTCCAGTGAAATACTGATACTACTGCTACTATCCATGGTGTTCATGCATCTCGTGCTTTTTTTTTTTTTTTCCAGTGTGAGAATTAGGAAGTAAGTTTCTAGCCAGAGATACCAGGACGAAACTTCCAACTTGTAATTGGCACTTTGCTAAACTTTCCAGCTCCAGTTAGAATATTAAGTTGACTTGAAAGTGGCGTTAGCCCTTTTCAGTCTAGTCTTTTGAGACCAGAGTCAGAATCTTTTCTAAGGCTGTCCTAATAAGGATCCTCTGTCCTTGATCCTCTTCTCTCAGCCTTTGCTTCCTCTCCTGGTCCCATTTCCTCCCAAGAAAAGGCATTTGTTTATTATGCACATCTATTTGAGTGTGCTCTCCTGATATTTTTTTTCCTGATATTTGTCTCTAGCAAATGCTACTTTCAGTACATTCTGTTGAATGTAGAACTGCAAATAGTTTAATTGAAAGGGCTTCCTTATTTTGAATTATTTATAATTCCACAAAAATTCCCTATCAGTGGTTTATTATAATATGGGACATAAAATATGCTTTGAAATCCATACTAATTATTTTCTTTTTTTCTCTCATTTTTAAAAACTGCATTGTCGATGGTGGCTGATGCTAAATCTCGTTCCTGTTGCTTCGAATTTCTTTTAAAAGTTAGCCAATCTTTGCTTCTCCATAGGATTTAGGGTAACGATAGCCGATCCTTTAGCCTGGCTCTCCAGTTCACCCTGGGAGAGGCAAAAGGGACCACAGCATGGCACAGATTGTGTTGCTAAAAATTTGGAGCCCTCTGGCAGGAGTTCCAAATACCTAGAACTGAGATAGAAAAGAAATACTGCAAAAGAAATGAATTCCTGGCTTCATTGGTGGCTAGAAAATACCTGGAGTGTGTGAGGTGGGAGAGGAAGAATAAAAAGAGACAGCTGGGGATGGGAGGTGAGGGGGCGGGGGAAGCTGTCTTTTCCTCTGATTCCAATCTGGGGACCATTGTCTTTTGTACTTTCTAATGCATTGTACACTTGAGTAATTGATTTAATTTGCTTTTTTGCAGAAGTGGGATTTCTGAGTCAGTGAGGCAGTTTCTTTAGATCTTTGACACTCTGAGTTAATAGTATTTGTTAAGAATATATTTTAGGGCAGGGCCCAGGTTTTAGGTGCCATTCAAATCCCGTTATGTTGCACAGTGCCTGGCACGTAGTAGGTTCTCAATAAAATATTCGCTGGATGAATGCATACAGTGTCTAAACTCTAGAAGACTAGCTTCTCTGGTTTTCAGGAAGGTTGTGTCAGGCCTTGCCACGCATGCCTGATCAGTGAGTCTGGCTCTGTCTGGTGGGGACACTTCCCTGCCTTCCTGATCTCTGAGATCCCTTGAGACATGGTTTGGTCCAAGCTCATAATGCACTAGACTGGAGTATTCCTTATGACCTCGATTGTGCTGCCCCAAGGTGTGAGGCAGCCTGGGCACTACTCAGCATCCTGGGTACCTGGGAAGCCTCGCCTTGTTTTAGCCCACTAATCTGAAGAAACCCATCCGAAGGACGGACCCTCCTGTGGCACGAACTGCTCTTGAAGTCGGTAAGGATGTAACCATATGCCTGTGGTTTCTGCACGCGCTTGAGTCTCTAAGTGAATGCATCCTGTAAAGGTGCTTTGGTCCATTAAGGTGTCTGCATACCGACCCCACATGGCGGGGGCTTTGACGCAGCCTTGTCCTGAAAGGCAGAGCCAAGAGGTCCCCAGGCTGCATTTGTGCCCCCAGGGTGTGAAGACCACTCCTCTTAACCTTCCTTTTGTGTTACTCTGTAGGATTGTTAGGGTTGTGGTTTTGTTTGAAAGCTCCTGTTCATAGAAGAGAAGCCTGAGGAGGAGAAAGCCTTTTTCTCTCATTTTCTTCCTCTCATTTCATTTTTTTTTTTTCCAGTTTGCAATATGTTTACTTTCACTGTGGCCTGGGATTTCTTTACTTTGGTTGAATGTATTGAAAGATTATACCCTTTATTTAAAGACTTCTTGGGTCAACCCTTTGAAGTTTTACTTGATTAGATTGAATGTAAAAGGCTTTTGCGTTCTAATTTTAATCTAATTATAAACATAGTATGTGCTCATTTTAGAAAATTTAGGAAGTACAGAAGAGAAATAATCATTTCTTATTCTACCACCCTGAAGCAACTGGTACTTTTTTCTATTATATAAAAATAGTTGAGATCACATCATGCATTTCGCATCCTGTTTGATAATATGTATTTTACAAAAATATATTATTATGGTGACTAGTTATTAACTTAAAGACAGAAAATTTAACCACAACATTTTCAATTTATAGACTTGCACATACCTCCACCCCTCACCTTTTCAAGATGTTAGTCCCATCGTGCTTTTTTTTTTTTGCTACACATTTAAGTTTAAATTTAAAAATCTTTTTGCTTATATGTGAAATGAGTTTGACGTCATACCAGTTCACAGGGGCTGTTTTTATGTTAGCTACCTGAAATTTCCTTTGAAAAGGTGTCAGGAGGGTCTCAATATCAGACGGTTATGAATCTTGAAAACAGCATTAAGTAACTGATGAATAAGCCATTTCCAGGATGGGGTATCCCCTTGGTGGTTTAAGCGTTTGGGCCTCAATGGAGCATTTTCACTGCTGCATTCAGATGAGAGAGATACACTCAGGCAATTTCCTGTGGCAGCTGTAGCTACTGTTGAGGAGTCCTCATTTCATAGCTTTCTGTAAAATAAAAAAAAAAGTGGTGATCTGGCACCAGAGAAAGAGTTGTTGGGGAATTTCTGTGGGGCATGGGGTGAAGGAATCCATCCTCCAGCAGAGCTGGTTTCTGTTTATAAGAATCTGGTTGAAAAGTCATTTTTCTCAGGGTCAGCTCTCTTAGCACAGCCATTTAAAAACAGGCAAAGGTTTACAAGTGCAGGCACTACCCTTTCCCTTCTTAAATCCAGAAGGACAAACCTCTTAATCTGGAGAGGGTAAGTGAAAAAGGCTCTCTCGAAAGTCATTGCTGGCTGGCTGCTTATAAATTCAGATTCTGAGAAAACCTGGAAGTTGTTTTGCTTACTCATTTTCTCTTTTTAGTTTTTCTTCTCTTGAATTTTGAGACCCCATCTTTATCACAAATAAAGGGGGGAGCAGTTCTTCCCCCTTATGAGATCATTGAATAATCTGATCTGTCCAGCAAAAATTCCTGGAATTTGTAATTTGATACATCTTAAGGCCAATGTGATTAATCAAAACTTAAGAGCAGAGTCGCTCTTTCTTTCTCTGTCTCTGTCTCTTTGGTTCTGTGCCTGATATTGTTCTAGGCCTTGAGGATACAACATATACATTTCTGCCCTCACGGAACTTACATTTCAGTGGGGTAGCCAGACTAAGCAAATGCAGAAGTGAAATATATGGTGTGTCAGATGATGTGAAGAGAGAAAATCAAAGCAGGGAAGATGGATAGAGGGATTTGAGAGGCAGGGGTTGCAATTTAATAGAGGTAATTAGGGAATCTCATTGATAAGGTGACATTGGACAGCAGACACCTGCAGGAAGTGAAGGAGTGGCCATGTATCTGTCCTAGGCAGAATGTTCCAGACAGAGAGCTGCACCAGTCCCATCCCTGAGGTGGCAACTTGCAAGGCTAGCAGATCTGAGTGTCTGGAGCTGAAGGAGGGAGCAGACAGATTATGAGGTGGAAATTGTGTGGGCCTTGGCCTTGATCTTGACTGGCGATGGCATGGGAAACCCTGGAGGCATTTGAGCAGGGGACTCTGTGGAGGGGGCATGGGACAGGGGTAGAAGTGACAGAGCCACTTACTTGCTTGCACTTCTTTGTTTAGTGTACTTTGGTAAAGGGGTCACTATGTAAATCCTGTTTCCCCTGTGCCAGCCCCTCCAGAACTAGACCACCCCTATTCTCCAGGTTTATCTCTACATATCCAGAGAAAGAGATTTGAGAAAAGTTTTAACTGAGCTTGTGTTGGGAAATTCTTAAACAAAATACTCAGGGTGCAATCCCTGGCATTCATGAATAAAAACAACTGCGCATAGTCCTGACTTAATGTAGACACTCAGAAAAAATATAGAGATTGAATGCATTGATTTGGGAGTGGAAGACCTGGTGTGGGGTCTCCCCACTTCCTAACTCCAGGAATTATTGTATTTTATTGATTCTAAGACTCATTTTTTTTTTTTACACTCTCGTGCTGATGAAATTTGACTGTGTCGTATGATGGCATCTTAGTACTGTGCTGTCTTTTGATAGACAGCCTTTTTCCTCCTTAGTGGCACATAAAGTAGCACCTGTGTAAATTGCGAAAGCACTTTTTGTCCATAATCATGGTGAGGTGATGAAAAAGGCACTCTTGCAGGCTCCAGCTGAGGGCCTGGAAGTACGGGGTTAGCCATGATTACCTGCTTCCTAAAGCCTTGGCCAGCATGCAGGCCATTAAGTCTTTTCTGCTCTGCCTGGGAAATTTGCACCTATTTTCGGAGCCTTAAGGCTTGCAGTTAATATCTTTCTTTGATTAGCTGATGAGGCAGGTTGGTAAGAGTTAGAATGGGAAGGGTGGGGAAGTAAGTTATTTAACTTGGGGCTTGACTCTGGAAGTTCAAATAGAAATAGAGAAATTTCTAGGAGAAAGTATCACCAGTGTGGATTTTGGTTTCTTTCTAGGCTACTGAGCTCTCATTGCCCTTAGCATTTCTCTTCAGTAGCCCTTTTAGAAATGTACTGTGGTTGTTTATTTATTTGTACTTCTTCCTCTTTTGATTCAGCAGGGGATCCATTCCACCTCTAAGCTTGGCCCAGAGGTGTTTAGGAAACATTTAAAGAGTAAATACAGCCTGTTCTGCTTAGCCCTTAAGGATGTGTTCTGAGAAATGTGTCTTTAGGTGATTTTGTCCGTTTGTGAACATCATAGAATACACTTATACAAATCTGGATGGTACAGCTTGTTGCTTCTAGGCTATAAACCTGTAAGCATGTTACTGTACTGAATACTGTAGGCAGTTGTAACACAGTGGTATTTGTGTGTCTAAACATATCTAAACATAGAAAAGGCACAGTAAAAATACAATATACAAGATAAAAATGGTCCACCTGTTTAGGGTACTTACCATGAGTGGAGCCTGCAGGACCGGAAGTTGCTCTGGGTGAGTCAGTGAGTGAGTGGTGAGTGCATGCAAAGGCCTAGGACATCACTATATACCGCTTTAGACTTTTTAAACACCATACGCTTAGGCTACATTAAATTTATAAGACAACATGAGATCAAGCACAAGAGAAAATGATGCAATCAAGAAACACAGTAAACATTATAACAGGGCACACTGTTTTACAGCAAACACTTTATGAGTAGAAAGAGTATACTCTAAAATGATAAAAGGTATATATAGTATAGTAAATACACAAACCAGTAGCATAGTCATTTATTACCTTTGTCAAGTATTATGTACTGCACAGAATTGCACGTGGATACTTTAATAAGACTGGCAGCACAGTAGGTTTGTGTGCACCAGCATCACCACAAACGCGTGTATAATGCATCAAACTACAGTGTTAAAATGACTATCAGGTCACTAGGGGAATAGGAATTTTTCAGCTCCTTTATAATCTTATGAGACCACCATCCCATATGGGGTCCGTCATTGACTAAAACATCCTTACGCAGCGCATGACTGTAAGTGATTGTCAGAGACACCTCTTCCGCTCTCCAATATGCACAGAGCCCAGGGTATGAGGCAGGTTGGCCTCTCGTGTTCAAACAGCTTCTTGTGTGGTTTATTCCATTTGTCCCCCAAACCTCTTTGCTTCTGGTCTGCTAGGATGCAGTCAGGGTTCAGAGCAGACACTGGAAAGCAGCCTAGGTATTTAAAGCAGAAAGGTATTTAATGGAGGGCATCTGGTGCTTATAAAATTGGCGGGTTAGGGCTCTCGGCTGGGCCTTCAGGAGGGAGTCCCAGTTAATAGTAGTATATGCAATCATTTAGAAACAGATATATTTTTGCATGGGTGCTCAAAACTGACCCGCCAGGGGTTCTGCTACCTCTGAGACCATCCTTGAACTCCTGAGTCCAAGAACAAACTGATGACGCAGCACCGTGGATCAGAAATCCTGATTCCAGAACTGGATGCTTCCCCACTGCAGCTGCCACTCAGTATCCAGGAAGCTGGAGAGCGGACCCCGTAATGCGTTACACAAAAACCCTTATGTCCCCATCGCCACTTTCGCCAGCAGCAAACATCCCAGAAGGCAGGAAGATGGCCTCTCGCTCATGTCTGCTTCCTAAATCTTGAGTGAGTGCTTCTGTTTGGGGGAACCATATTCATATCCAAAACCCCAGCTTCAAGGAAACTAGGGAAATACAGCTTTTAAATCACTAGCCTCGGCAGTATAGAAAGGCCTTCTAGAAAAGGGGTGGATTTGATGACGAGCAAACGTCCACAATACTTACCCCACCCACTGAACTGTCATCACCAACATATTTCGTTTATAGATAATTTATACATATTACTACCGTTAGCTAAATATCTAGGATTAAGGATATTTCTACTTTCTAACACTAAGTGACTGTAAAG